TATCTAAGACATTGCATCATCAGGTAATAAAGTATTTTGAAGAAGTTATTACTGACACTATAAAAAATATTCTAAACCTTTTTTTATTTTTGCTGATAAAGCTTTTGACAGTTAAAGTAAAAAACAACTATTATTAGTCATATGGTTTGTTGATTCAAAGTTCAATAAAAGAAAATTTATTAGTTTTTTAGATTGCACAAATATTGTTTCTAGTTAAGGGTTATTTTATGTTTTGTTAAAAAGTATTTCAGATTTTTCTTAAGATATCAAAAATGGTGCTGGAGCAATCAGTAACCGTTGATTGCTCCAGCACCGTTATGATATTTTAAAAATTATCTGTAATACTTTTTAACAAAACATAAAATAATTCTTAACTAGAAACTTTGTTAGTTTAAAAAGTATGATACCTCTTTGTTAAAGAGGTATCATACTTTTTAAACTTTTACCTACAAGGCAACAAAAGTTATTAGAGCGTATTGAAAGTATTGCTCCATTGGCTGTTCAAAAAAAAAAAGTTAAAAGGTGTTTGCAGAACAAGTTAGGTGGAAAAATTAAATGGTTTGGATACTTTTCAAGATCTTTGTGCTAGTTATTACAAAAATAATTTCAGAAGTTCAATTTTTTCATGATACTGATTAGATGTACTCCATCTTTTAGTGACTTTTATGGAACAGATTTACTGAATCCCCTTGCCTTACCTTGAGCTTGATTTATGCAAAGCTTTCTGGTTAAATTTAAAAAGTGATATGTATTTTAATATTGCTGAGTTGTTAAAAGTGATAGATTTTCCTGCTTTTGAAAAGTTTAAAAATTTACTTTCTACTTTTTTATTAACTTCATGTTTTTATTAACTTCTTTATTTTGGTTCCTATGCGAAGCACCATGGTACTGGACCACTCAAATAGTTTAGCTTTGATGAATATTTGTACAGAGTTGGTTATAGATATAAAAAAACTCATTGATATGTTTGCTACTAGTAATCGTAACTAAATTTTTTTAACTATTAAACAAAGTTAAAATAAATAAAAAATATGAAAAAAAACTTTTTAAATTTGAGATATAAAAAATGAAAAATAAAAATATTCAAACAAGTTTTTTGTCACTAGTTAAAAAAACCGGCTTTTTTTGTAGCTATTTACCCTTACAAAACATAAAGAAAGTATTGGAATACATTGTATTTTTAAGTTGAGTTATTGTTGTTGGTGACACCACTTGGTGTTATCATTCTTTTTATGCTATGTTGTAATTATTACATTTGAAAAATGCTTTTATTTTTTGAATTGATTTTTTTTTTTTTTCAGGTTTTATGCATCAGCAAGATTTAATAAAATGAAGATTTTAAAATTTTTAATAAAATGAAAATTTTAAAATTTTAAAATTTACTTTTTTTAAAACAAAATGGGCATTAAAATTGTGTTTCTGAATATCTCTTTATGTAATTCAAAATTGCATATTTTATTATTACATAAAGATATTTTGTTATAATTTGTGTTATTTTTGTTACAATATAAATGTAAAATTTTAAAATGTGTAAGTTTAATTTAATAATGGTAATGTGTAAATATAATTTTTAATAATAAATTTGTAAATAAGCGTAAATATATAAATTTACAATAGTAAAGTGTCACAGCGATATCCCTTTATTTTTTTAAGCGAAGAAAGACTTTAAATAGATTAACTAATATATATATATATATATATATATATATATATATATATATATATATATATATATATATATATATATATATATATATATATATACACATATATATCTTATATATATATACACATATATATCTTATATATATATACACATATATATCTTGTACTGCTAGTTTAGGTGAGGAGTCTGACGTAATACTGAAATAGACTGTTGCCGGGGGCTTCAGTACATAAGTCAACTGACAAATAGCCCGACTCGTAGCGGAATGCTGCTACATCGACTGGGTTTGGGATAAGGCAGCAATCTTTTCTTTTATTATTCTTTGTTTTTTTTCTTTTTTTTTTGAAAATGCAACTTTAATTAATGTAACAAAAATATAGTATTAATTTGTTACATAAATATGCTATCAGGGTTGGCTGATTTAAATCACATCGATTTAAATCAGTGATTTAAATCAAGATTTAAATCAAAAGATTTTTTTGGATGACTAATGATTTAAATCAAGTTTTTCTTTTATGTTTGATTTTTGAATAATAAAAATTTATTTAAAAACTATTTTTGTCATATTTATAAAAAAAACTAATTAAATGTAACAGAACTATGTATTTATAGAAATAATGACTCAAAGTATACAATAAAAATAAATAAAACAGGTAATGCTACAGTGCACAAAACAAATTAATAAACATAATTATCAATTAAAACTAAAAAAATTTTATCCTGTGTGCAGCATTAAAATTAATCATCAACATCAAATTGAATAATTTTCTGCTGATTAATTGCCTTGAATAGAAACACAAGCTTAGCAGCTTTTTCTGTACTCAATCTATTTCTCAGTTTTGAATGTACCAAGCCGTAAGAGGAGAACACACGTTCAACTCCTGCAGATGAAGCTACCGCAGTCATCAATTGTAAAATTGTATTTAATGTTTTACTTTCAATGTTATCGCGGTGTGATCTCCACCACTGAACAGACGATAATTCTGTTAAAACCTCTAATCTAAATTCAAATTCCAGGAATGGGTATGACTTTCCTCTAAATTTCATAACTGTAGGAATAATATGTGGGTATTGTAGATTGGCATATTCCAAAGCAGTATTTTTTTCAATTTCATTCAATTTTCTACCTTGGTAATGAGGGTGAAGAAGATTAGCCAGAAAATGGGATGGTGTCACTGCCTTGTCGTATCTTTTTTTGAATTTATTTTGGATAACTTTCTCACTTTTACACAAAAGTTTTTTTTCTAGATTTTTCTATACTTCCACTACATCTGCAATTTTGCATTTGTCGCTTTGTGCTTTATCAAGTGCAAAAGCAATAGGTTCTAAGCGAGCAAGTAGATCTTCTGCAGATCTCTTAATGACTAAGTTAGAGACATTTTGTTGCACTGTAGTGTCAATTAAAATTATTATGGCCCGATTAGACTCACAGATTTTTAGCAGAGTTGACCAATTTGCAATATACAGTTTTAGACAGTCACACATGGTATTCCAGCGAGTATCTTGAGGCAATACAAGTTTTTGTCCACCAGCTTTTCTATATTCTGCCAAAGCAAAATGGTGGTTCCTAAAATATTTGACAATATTTACTATATGATCTTTAATATTGTCAATTTCTAGGTCATGTGCTAACAAATTCATTAAATGTGCAGAGCAACCATATGTAACTACATCAATATCTGATCGAGATTCAATATTATGCCTCATTTTTGATACATTAGCTGCATTGTCAGTCACAATACTTCCCACACGACACCCAAATTCAAGCTCTATATTTTTAATTGATGAAACTGCTAGTTCTTCAAGATATTCAGAAGTGTGCGGGCTTCCAGATGTGTCAATTGTGTCAGCTAAATAGACTTGTTTCAGTTGTAACTGTAACACAAATTATAGGCTCCTTATGAACGTTTGACCAACCATCCAGTGCTATATTTACAATCTCTCCATTTAGAGCGTTTTTAACGTTACCCTTTTCTTTATCAAACACTATTGTTAGGAGTTTGTCAGCTACGTCCTTTCTTGTTGGGCCACTATAGCCTGGCCTCAACATCAACATAAGTTTTTGGAATTCTGGATGTTCAACTAATTGAAATGATGAATTTGTTGCAAAAATCATTCTTGCAATCTGCTCATCAAATACGGCCTTTTGACTCTGACTTATTCTAACAACATGTGACAATAATCCAGAACTTATATTTTTATTTATTGGACCATTATTATTTATATTTTCAGTCCGTGATTTTTTTGCTGATACATTTAAATAACATTTTTCTGCTAAAACAGATGATTCTGAGGGTTGCTTTGTAACATCAAATTGAATATTGGAAGAAGTAGTTTGAAATTCAATTTCTAAAAAAATACTTTGAATTAAATAATACTAATTAAAAAAATAATTATTATAAAGTGTACATTATATCACCTTCTGTATTATTTTCGTGACAACATTTATTTAAGTGTACTTTCATTCTTGCCACCAAACCCTGCAGTTCTTTTTTGCATATCCTACATCTTGCTTTACATCCCTTCCCACTTTTTGTTTCAAGCTTTTCAAATTTGGACCACACTGAGTTAGATCTTCTTCCAGACATATTTTTTTGTTTTTGTTTAGTATGTTTTAAATATTTTTGTTTCTGCAAAAATATAGCTAGAGTTTTAAACCATTTAAGAGTAATATTTTTTTGACAAAAATTTTGACAAACAGTCAATATTAAATTATAACAACAATATTTAAGAAAAAACTTAATACTATCTAAACTTAATATAATAAATATCCAGAAAATCTTTATACAATCGCATAGTGTGGATAGTTTTGTGGAGGTATAAGGTTAAAAGAAATGATTTTAGAATCCTGAGTATACTTTTGACCTGTTTGACCACTGCATTATGTAAAAAAAAAACACAGTCAACCAATTTCATATTACTTTAAATTATATTAAAAGTTAATCAAAAAATATTTTATTTAAATCAAAAAAATCTGATTTTTTTGATTTTTTTAAAAAAATCGTGATTTTTTCCAACCCTGTATGCTATAGTATATATATGTGTATATATATAAGCCCTCCCCATTCAAAACTAAAGGGGAAAGGAAGGGGGAGTTGTTTAAAGGTCGTTCATAAAAAATGAAATTTTTTATTTTTACAAATTATAATTTATTATTAACAATATTAATTGTATACTATAGTATATGATTAAAGTTGTTCAATTATAATAATTAAAAGAATGACAATTAGTGTATTACTTATAAAAAGAAAACTAATTTTTATTGCGCTAATGAATTATTGATATATTTGTCATATTTTCAACGTTTATATAAAAATTGCTTTTTATATTGTAGTGAACTCAGTAAAGCCGCAAAAGAAAATTATAACTAAAGGTAGATTTTAAATTTTACAGTAGTCAATAGCAGATAAATTTCTTTTAGAAAACTTGAGTAACTAATTGTTTTTTTATTTTTATTTTGTCTATATAAATTTTCGTATTCTTTATAAAAACTATCGAAATTCTTATTATAAGGCATAATATAAGGTATATATATATATATATATATATATATATATATATATATATATATATATATATATATATATATATATATATATATATATATATATATATATATATATATATATATATATATATATATATATATATATATATATATATATATATATATATATATATATATATATAGGGCTACCAATACCCGACCAAAAATTAAATACCGGTTTTTCAGTATTAGATTTAGTGAAAAACGATATACCGGTATTATCCAGAGGGTTGTCTGCTAGCTCTTCCTTGCTTAGACTCAAGTTTTGTTGTCTTGCTTCTATAAAAGCCAATATGCTTAGATGTTTCTCAATCAAATAACAACATCATACATTTTTTAAAAAACGGGCATCGGTAATTTGAATAGAATAAATTATCCGTGACAGGGAATACTTCTGCCTTAGTCACAAATCTTGCTGGATTACTCATTTGTACCTGAAGTTCTTTGCAAAATCGCTTGACCACATCAGTTTTATAACTTTTGGGAACCTTACTCCTATTTTGTAAAAAATCTGTTGAAAATGTAGTTTAAACTAGAATGATCATTTCAGTATCTGTTGAAAACCTGTAACTTGCAATCCTAAAAAGATTTAACTCTGAATCCCGTTTCTCCATCATCACAAACTGCTGATTGGTTGCAACCACATCCTCTAAAACATTGCTTTTTTTATTTACTGAAAGTTTTGAAATACTATTACATTTTAAATTACATTTTATCGTTATAACAATTTTATCAAAATATTTGTTGACTTTTATCAAAGACTTAACTCTCAAAGTTTTTAGATCAATTATTGATCTTTGTAAAATTTTATTATAAAAGTTATTTGATAATCATGATCAGTTGAAATTTTAATAGAAATATTTTATCGCCACGATCGGTTAATATTTTGCGACGTGCAAGTAAATTAATGTTTTGTAAAATACCCGCCATCATCTTCACAATTTTACTTGCAACACTTTTTTTGTAGAATTAATCCATAAATCTCGAAATTTGCCTCTTTTCTTCAATATTTCATTCACAATTGCCCAGAAAGATTCGATAGCTAGCTGCTCAGGGCACTTTGATGGATCCTTTGGAACAAAATTACTTATTTTGTTTCAAATGCAAAATTACTTATTTTGTATTACTTTTTTAGAATAGTGGATTGATGCCAAATCTGGTCAAAATAAGGTTGTTTGTGCTTTTTAATAATAATAGGAAGTCGTTTTTTTAAACATTTTACATTTTAGATCTGATGTCAAAAATTGAAAAATTAAATTACTCATAAAATGTGTTTTTATTTCACAATATTTGTATATGTTTTAGTCGTAATATATCATAATAAAAATTTAAACAATTAGTGATTAACGATAAATTTGAAATTTCTATCTTATACTATTATTTTTATAATTTTTAAATTACATTGTTTTCTTAAAATTTTTTTAAATTTTGTAACTGATTTTTTTTAAGACAAACGATGGTCCTTTTAAGATATGTTTTTATTTCATTTTTTTGGTTTACCAATAGAAGGAAATGTAATGTTATTATTATTCTGTATTTTAGATTGTCAAGCTCAAATTCAATCTTTGGTTGTTGTTGAAGACAAAATGTATGTTGGAACATCTTTTGGTGTATTTTTTACTTGCAATGCTTATACAATGATACCTTATACGTGGTTAAGATGTTACAAAGAATGTTTAAGTGTTATTGTGCCGTGTCGTATGCTTTCAAAGCGAGATGTTAGTCAGAAAGAAAATCAGCTTATATTAACTTGTGGTCAAAAATCTTTGGGTCGTTGGTTTAACAATGCTGATTGTAATAAGAATGGAACCAGCGCTAAAAAAGGCTTTAGTCTGATGATGTGGAATGTGAATTCACTGAATTATAGTTTTAAATCCTAGCAACATAGTTTATATTTTTATGTAATTTGTAAATACCTTTATGCTAGTTTGCTTGTAAATCTAGGGAATGATTTAAGAAAGCTAAGCGTGTTTATCGGTACTGTACGTTGAATCTTACAACTTTATAACTTTGGGTTTCATAGGTTCCAATTATCTTTAACTTTGCCAACGATGCAAAAATGTTTAAAAAATTTACAAGCCGCCGAGTAAGTTGTCTTTAAATGATATAGAGAGGTATCTCCTTTTTAAATGATATAGAGAGGTATCTCCTTCAAAATTTATAATGCTTTTAAATACGGAATACTTGCAAAAGTGATTTGTTAAGCTGAAAATGCCTAATTTGTGTTCCTCTCTATAAGAAAATCTTTTAACCTTACTTTAGAACAATATTAGCAATTAGTTTTTTACGTAATTTTAAATTTTTTTTTTTTTTTTTTTAACATCTTCGCTTCCAACAAGGCTGTAAGCAACCACTATTAGAGTTGGAAATTACTGGAAGAGAAAAAATGAAGTTTATAGAGCAAGATAACGATTGACAGACGACTTAAAATATTGCAAATTATATAAATTAGGAAAACAAGATTATGGAAGCGAATTCCAAAGAACTGATGTTCGAGGAAAAAAAATGGACAAATAAAAATTTTTAATGTAAACTAAAAAAAGTATAGCGACAAAGATTCAATAATCTTAAAGATATTATCTGATACATCGTAAGAAGAAAGTTTATGGAGAAGACCAGCATGCCAAACTTTATCAAAAGCTTTAGAAATGTCGAGAGCGGTAGCCTTAACCTCTCCACAGATATCTAATGCACGACAAAACCTATTGGTTATTACTGTTAGCAAATCAGCAGTAGAATAAGAAGATCGAAATCCATATTGATGATCAGAAAGTAAGTTAATAGATTTGAGATGAGAGATTAAGTATTTGTTAATTAAATCTTCAAAAAGCTTGCTTATGATAGGAAAAAGACTGGGACAGAAGTTAGACGAATCAGATTGCTCTCAATAATTTTTGAAAATAGGGATAACAGATGCCGCTTTCCAGCATGCTGGAAAACAAGGTAATCACTTATTAAATAGTTATGAATTATAGATGACAGCTCCGGAGAACACTTCTGCTATGTTTTCTATATTTTCTGGACCACAAGCTGTAGGAGAGTCTAAGCAGCCGGAGCCGGAGTGAAATGAACACTCCAGCTTCTGTATTTGATAAAGCTTAGATACAGAGGTTGGAGTGATACGAATGTAAAGCTATAAATCAACCTGTTTGTCGGCTATATCAGGTGGAACGCAACTATTGGAATCAAGAGATAATATTGATGAAAAGTTCTTAGCAAACAGTTCAGGTTTGTCTCTAGTGAATTAACATAAACTGAACCATACAAGAGAGGTGGAATAGCAGATTTGCCATTATTATTGATACTGTTAAAGATTCTCCAAAAGTCAAAAAAGCCTAATTTTTGAGATGAAATACGAGATTTCATGACCTGAAAATAGTGGGCTTTGGCGTTAAACAAAACGTTTTACAATGGTTTCTAGCAATAGTAAACAGACGTCTGCTTTCTAGAGAATCGTTTTGCTAATAAATTCGGAAGTAATGGTTTCGATTGGAAATTGCAACAGCAGAATGTGAGGAAAACCATAGAGAAGGGTGAGGTTTGACTTGAAATTGTCGAGTTGGAATAAAAGATTCCATGTCAGCCTGAATCCAAAAAGTTATGCAAGAAGCACATTTGTCAGCAGGAAGACAAAAGATTTCTGCCTAATATGGGCTCCAAATGTGGCCTCAACAATACGTACCAAAAGTACAAACAGGTACACCATTTATGCGCAACATGGCATTGTTAGCATTCTCATATTTTACAACTATTTATGGAATCAGCCTCTCAGAGAGCTACCACAGAGTTTGGGAAACCTGACTACCAGCCGGTCCCAAAACCATACAACTAAGTTTTAGAGCTGTACCTTCATTAAGAGATAATAGAATGAATTACTGAGACATAAAAGCAGAGACACAAGCAAAACCCATGGAATGAGTCAAGAAGATTTAGCATTCAACATCCTAAACTGGAAAGAATGTATTATAAATACATCTATGCAAGCCTAATAGATGAGGAAGAAGTGCGAGGCTGGTCAACAGATAAAATCTGTTTACCCCTTAATTCTTTTCCTTCTCAAGACAGTAGCCGGATGCGTTTTACATTTGCCCAAGAAGAATATTTTTATTGAGACACCATCTATAGCCTTTACTCAACCAAGAGCTCCAAGGCAGGGGGTGTTTTATATCGGAGTTATTTTCTCCTAGCCTTTGCCTAAAAAAACGTATCCTACAAGGGAACAGTATATGAAGTATGGCCACTAGAAATCGGAGGTTATATAAGACTTCAAAATGGTTATTTTTCCCATTGGTTTTCAGAGCGGTTTTCACAATTTTCTTTGTAAATGTAAACTTATCACTGCGGTTTTATTTTTTGAACAAAATACGCAAATTATTTATCAATATAGTTTTACTTAAAAAAAGAAAATATTTCAAGAAATACTATCAAAAAAGATAATAAATATAATATGTAAATATGGGAAATAAATATAATATGTAAATATGGGATATACGTTCAATTACAATTTTTTAGATAAAATAAATTGCACCACATACGCAACATGAGTTTGATAGTAAGTTTTGGTAATGGTAAAATGCGGAAACTTTCAAAGGATTAAGTGCAAAATAAGGGTTTGGGGCTTCAGTACCGACTGATATAGAAAGAGCAAAATACTGCTACTACATTTTTGTTTAATAAAATGTTTGTCGAATTAAACGCAAGTTTAGTAAATAAACTTAGTAGAGTTAGCTTACATAAAAATGAATAAAAGAAAATATCAAGTTGATACAGTATATTACGGTTCATTAAAAAATTTATTGATCAGTTTTTTTCAAGTGAATTCTTACAAACACTTTAGAAAATTGGTCAACTCTCCAGCAAACGTTGTAGCAAATTGGATTTGCAGTATAAAGACATTTTGATCATAGGTTAAAATAAAGAATTTTGCTCATAGGTTACTTAGTGGACAATTAGTGGTATCCACCATAAATAGCCGGCCGATAACTTTCCAACATGTGATATTGTAGCTACAGCCACTATATCATATGTTAGATAACTGAAAATTTCAGAACTTAAATCTTTAGTTTCTCTCGTCTTTACCTACATCTGAAATTAATGATGTTCATTTGGATCAAGAGATAAATGCAAATTATAGATTCAGAAGATGCAATTTCTATAACTGCATGGTATGTTTCTAGACTTGTCAAAAGGTATATTTTAGGTATATTCCTAGACTTGTCAAAGGCATTTGACACCGTTAACCATCAGGTTTTATTAGAAAATATTATGGAATAACCCACGAATACCATAAATGATTTACCAGTTACTTAACTGATCGAAAGTAGTTTATATCTCTAAATGACGGCTTTCATACAAACAAACTTAAAATATCATGTGGGGTTTCACAAGGCTCCATCTTAGGTCCGCTGCTGTTCTTAATCTATATCAACGATATATATAAAGCATCAAATACTATGTCTATTATTATGTTTGCAGACAACATCACTTTAAAATCTCAAGAAATATTGGCATTTTATATAAAACCAGACAAATCTTAGCTATATTTTGCATTCATAAATAGTTATTTATCTTATGGCAATATTGTTATGGCAATATTGTTTGGGTAGTACAAATAAATCTAAACTCGAATGTCTTCTTAAACAACAGAACCATGCAGCATGCATTATTCATTTTCAAAATTGCTTCACAAATGCTAATCCTCTTTTAAAAAGCATGAGGGTACTTAATCTTTATGAACTAAATATTTTCAAATTTATACAATTTATGTTTCAACATCAGTCAAAAAAAACGCCGAAGGTTTTTGAAAATATTTTATGTATATATACCACAATAATGATAAAATGTGAACTAAACTTAGTTTACTATTTCTTACTATGTGAATGTTTTAAATAAAAACGAGATTAAAGAAACGACACACTTCATGCTACACTAAAACTTTATTTTGAAAATAAGATCAAAATATCCTTACACAATATAAATAGCAAAATAAAATAACATGGTTATTAAGTTCTTTTAAAAAATATCAACTTGGTTGAAACTTGGGAATTTTCGGAAGAAATTCGATTTTTCCACATGGAATTACAAGCCTATATAGTATAGAAATATTGTATAATATAAATAGTTTCATAAAATCGCAACGAATAAAAAAATAAATAATAAAAGTACCTGCTTTTGTACCAGAAGAGTACTTAATAAATGCATTGCTCAATCTATGTCAATAAATTGATTTACAAAATGAACTCTAAATGTGTGTCAGAAAGATTTGAATCTTTAAATCATATAAATGTTAAAAATGTTAAAACAGCCATGGTATCAACATGTCAGAATAGTCTATACTTTCACAATATTCTATAAAAAAATTGATCAAACATCTCATTATAATTAAAAATTACATAGCCATATTTTTAAATACTCATTTTGGTGTTGTTGTAATAGTAGCTATAGTTAACTACAACCGCAACAAATGTATGTAAATAAAGAACTGACTTATAGTATAATGTAATGATTTTTAGTATATAGTAATAGTAAATGATGATTTTTTTTGCTCAGTTTGTAGTTTTTTTTTTCTTTCTGTCATCAGTTATTCATTTTATCAACAAGAGTTATTGGTATAAGTTATACCAATAACCCTTGTTGATAAAATTCATTTTATCAACAAGGGTTATTGGTATAAGTTATACCAATAACCCTTGTTGATAAAATGAATAACTGATGACAGAAAGAAAAAAAAAACTACAAACTGAGCAAAAAAAATCATCATGCTAGTAACAAAATAAAGAACAAACACTAGTTAGTGACATTTAACAATTTGTATAGTTTTTTCTAAACATTCTCATTGTTGTGACACAATGATTCTATTGGGTTTTATATCCGCACGAAGGAATTAACGTGAGAACGCAAGTAAAATTTGCAACGCTAAACATAAAATCAGATATTACGAAATAAAGCAAATGATTTCATTTGGGTATTATATCAGCGCGAAGGAATTAGCG